CCAGCCTCTGGTCCCCAGGTGCCCGCTGGGGAGAGGGACTGAGGCTCCGGAGCCGGCTCCCAGCTTCCCCACGTCCTCTCACACCCCGCCCCCCACACCCCATTCCCCTCCTTTCCAGCTTTCAGTTTCGTTTCTGGATCTGTGCTACCATTTCCCCAGGCCGCGGTCCCTCTCTTTGCTCGGTTACCCCTCTCCCAGCTCCGGGCCTACATGCCCTGGGGCCCTGATGCACGAAACGCCGTCACAGCAGCCGGTCCGCAGACCGCGGCATCGGGGGAGTAATGTCCGCAGACCGCGGCGGGACCCGCGGGGTTTCTGGGGAAAAAGGCAGGAGAGTCCCGCGAACAGAGCCTCCCGCTCCTGGCTGGAGGGGAGGGTGCGTTCTAAACACCCAACCGGGAGCGATCACAGAGAGTGGGTCCTGCACCACCGACAGTATCACCTCCTCCACGCCCCCCGACAACCATGATGTGCTGATGTGCGCGCCCCGTTATCACACCGGTTCCTGGGCGAGGAGTGAGGGCAGAGGACCTGGGCCTCTTGTCAAAGGTCACACGGGTGGGAAGTCGTCCGACCGGATTCAAGCCGGTTTGTGCCAGCTCTCGCCGCTCACTCCAGTCCTGCGGGAGCCAACTCTTCCCAAATAGTTTATACATTGGATGCAATTCCAGTAAAAATTCCATTTCTTAACATTTCAAACACATCATCTAAAGTGACTAAGAATTAAGTGTTTTTTTGGTGTTTTTTAACGAGGAGAAATGAGAAAGGAAAGTCAGTTTAGAATGGACCTTTTGTATTAACGTTATAAAGCTCCAGGACTAAACTCCTCCGGGGACTGGACCAACGCAGGCAGGTGAGCTGCAGCGTGGACCCTGGACTCTCCGGGAGCCCAGTGCTGTTTCTAGCTTCCGGGCCTGGACTCGCCTTTCAGCTGCTTCCCCACCTCCTTTGCTCTGCACACCTGAGCTTCTCTCTGGAGGGGCCCTGCCAGGGTCCACCCCCTCCTCCCTATCACTCAAAACGCATTCGTCCTCTGCCACGTCACTCAAGGATCCAGCATTTATTCTGCCTCTGAGTAAACCTCAGGTAACAGTTAATCTTGACAAGGGCTTCCGGAAGCCCGCCGTAACTGAATGGCAATGATAGGGGGGTCAGGGGTGAACGCATTTCAGAGGTCAGAGGGAGTGATGGTAGGCCACCAGCGTGTCCAGAGTTTATATTTTGAGTAGTGAGTGCCACGTCACTGGGGTATTCAAGTGTAGGAGGAAGACTGGATTATAGGTAAGAGGTTGTGAAGGGGATTCACTTACTCATTAATCACAGTCGTCTTCCCGATTCACAAGTCACTTGAGAATTCTGTTTGAGACGGTGGACTGAACATCTGCTCAAGACCCTACTGAAATGACAGCAAAGATGTATTAATTGTTTTAGTCCTCACCTGAGGAAGGGAGAGGGGGTGGGGGGAGAGAGGAACATCAACATGAGAGAGAACAGTGATTGGTTGCCTTCTGTACATGCCACCTCAGCCGGGCAGCAAAGATATGCTTAAAGTATCATGCAACTCAACAGGTTGGAAATGGAGAGAGCGTGCCATCGGGGGACCAGAACAGTTGAGCAGTTTTTAGAAAGTAAAGAGCAGAAGGGTCAAGATTGGAACAAGGTGGCAGACTGACCCAATGCTCAAGCTTCCACTCCACCCCAGACCTCTAGGAGTAACAGGAGAGATGAACATAACGAATACTGTTGCCGCGTCCTCTGAGAGTCCTGAAGGAGATGTGGGGTCGGATGAAGGAGCACAGGAGGGCGGAGGTAACTATGTGGGTGGGAAGGGATCCCCGGCATATCACAGACAAAGGCGAGGGGCAGGCGGGGGGGGGGGGGCTGTGGGCCGAGAAAAGAGAAAGGGGTGTCAGTACATTAAAATCCAGTGAAGCCTGGCTGATGTGGCTCAGTGGTTGAGCATGGACCCAGGAACAAGAGGTGACGGGTTGATTCTCGGTCAGGGTACATGTCCGGGTTTCCGTCTCGATCCCCAGTAGGGGGCGTGCAGGAGGCAGCTGATCTATAATGTTTCTCTCTCGTTGATGTTTCTATTTCTCTATCCCTCTCTCTTCCTCTCTAAAGAAATCAATTAAAAGATAAAAATAAACAAATATAAAATCCAGTTGAGCTGGGGGGACCTCAGCATAAGTCTGAGCACCCTGGGATTCCCCCATTAACCCAGGACCTCAAACCTCACAGGACACAACCTCTGACAGCCTTTCAGCTGCGCTCTAATCTCCCTGACCTCCACCCTCATCTCTGCTGACTAACTGTTAGCTCTTTTCTCAGTTTCGGCTCCCCAGCAGGAAGTTATCTAGAAAGTAGCCTTATCCATTAGCTCTTTTCTCAGTTTCGTTTCCCCAGCAGGAAGTTACCTAGAAAGTAGCCTTATCTCTGGGGCCTCAGAAGTTTATGTCTCAGGTTTGTTTGTTTTTTAGGAAGGGAGGGAGAAAGAGAAACATCATTGTGAGAGAGAAAGATCCATTGGTTGCTTCCCACACGCCCTGACCAGGGATCAAACCTATGACCTCAGTATGTGCCCTGACCAGGAATCGAACTTGCCATCTTTTGGTGTACAGGACGATGCTCCAACCAACTGAGCCACACCAGCAAGGGCTGGCTCAGGTGTTTCAATTTCCACCATCCCTTCCACAATTGCTCCCCTGTTTCCAAATCTCATGAACTTGCCCCTGAACCAGCAACTCCAAATACCAGCACGCCAGATCTTTCTATAACCTGGGCTTGCTGGCATTTCACAAACAATCCAAGCTTAGCTGAGAGAAATACTTATTTTAAAATATGTTTTTGCAAGAAAATTTGCTTTATTGTTTTTTTTGTCGTCATACAAGCAATAAAAGTTTAAATTTATCTAACATCAGAAAATTCAGAAAAGTATTAAGATCACTCATAATGCTAAAATCAAATATACATGCTGAAACATTTAGGTCTTCCAGGAATCAATCATTACAAAATGAAATTAAAGAAAACATACTTACATACAACAACACAGAAACAAGTACCTAAGAATAATATGACAAAAAAACCCATGAAATTCAGGGGAAATTCTAAAACTTACTCATACAGTCATTAAAGACTTAAATGAAAAGAAAGTTCAACTTCATCAACTGGGATTCTCAAAATTACATAGATGCCATTCTCCCTAATCTAATTTGTATAACTCTGATTAAACACCTCCCCATATTTTGGGTGAAATTGTACAAATTGTGTATAAAATTAACATGGAAATAGAAAGGCCAAGGGAAGCCATGGATTTTGATTAAAAAAAAAAGAGAACAGAGTTTGCTATGAGATATGAATAATTGTTTTAAGTTTATAGTAATTCAGACGAGGTTGGATTTTAATCCATGTAATCTTGGAGTCTTTGACCCATTTTGAGTTGATTTGTGTGTGTGGTGTAAGGTAGAGGTACAATTCACCCTATCCAATGTTCCCAGCACCATTTGTTGAAGAGAGAACCTTTCCCCAGCAGGAAGTTACCCGGCCTTGCTGGACATCAGTGTACTGCATGCGCAAAGTACAGACAACAAAAGCAAAACCAGGCAGGAGGGACTACAGCAAACGAAGCGCTTCTGCACAGTAAGTGAAAGCATCCACAGAGTGGAAGGGCAAGCCCTGGAAAGGGAGGAATATTTGCAAACCATAAACCTGATAAGGGGTTAATTTCCAAAATAAGAAGAAGCTCCCACAAGTCAGGAGCAAAACAATTTTTAAAAACCAAATAGTCCTATTACAGAATGGGCCAAACACTTGAATAGCTATTTCTCAAAAAATAAAAATATAAAAAGACATACAAATGGCCAACAGGCCCATGAAAAGATGCTTGACATCACTAATCATCAGGGAAATGCAAATCAAAACCTCTCACCTGTTAGAATGGCTATTCTATTTTTTTTTAAAAAAATATTTTTATTGATTTCAGAGAGGAAGGGAGAGGGAGAGAGAGATAGAAACATCAATGATGAGAAAGAATTATTGATTGGCTGCCTCTTGCATGTTCCCTACTGGGGATCAAGCCTACAACCCCGGCATGGGTCCTTGACGGGAATCAAACCCGGAACCCTTCAGTCCACTAAGCCAAACCAGCTAGGGAAGAATGGCTATTCCATTAAAACAAACAAACAAACAAACAAACAAACAAAGACACAAGTGTTGGCGAGAATGTGGAGGAATGGGAAGGCCCATGGACTGTTGGTGGGAATGGGAAATGGTGCGGCCGCTCTGGAAAACAGTATGGGAATTCCTCAAGAGATTAAAATGAGCACTACGGTATGATGTGTTTGGCTTTTCAAATTAAGCAACTAGTTACTAACTCAATTAATGTGCTGGTGACTGTAATATTGTTTTTATAATAAAAAAAACTCTCATAAGACAACACAGGCGGCTCACCCACATGGAGGAATGGTGCCGTTACAAGTGATGCCAAAATTTTCGTCTCAGCCTGGACAACTATGCTAAACCTGTCAGAGCCGATGACAAAGCTGGGGAGGGAGTAGGACCCCGTTAAAAAGACACTACATACCGAGGGAGACAGGCAGAGTCAGAGGAAGGGCTGAGGAGACAGGCCCCAGATTTTACCAGGTGGGAGGGGGAGATTGTGGGAGTGTTGTTGTTTTATTTCAAATGATTTATTTTGTGAATGTTAAAGACAATGACTAAATATTGTCACGAAGGAAGACGTTTATACTCACAGATCCCTAGAAACAGGGGTTAGGGTCCCACACAGGGCCACACGGGGAAGCACTGGGGTTGAGCCACAGGGAGTGAGGGGGAACATGGGCGAGAACCTTTACCATAGCCCCGGCTGGTGTGGCTCAGTAGATAGAGCCTCAGCCCTCAGACTGAAAGGTCCCGGGTTCAATTCCGGTCAAGGGCACGTACTTCAGTTGCAGGCTCCAGCCTGGCCCTGGTCGGGGCGCATCTGGGAGGCAACCAGTCAATGTGTCTCTCTCACATGGATATTTCTCGCTGTCTCTCCCCTCCCTTCCATGGTCTCTAAAAATCAATGGAAAAATATCTGTGGGTGAGGATTAACCAAAAAAAGAACCTTTATCATAGTTCCCACGGGAAAGGCAAGCGGGGTAAGCAGGCCTAGGATGGGCCAGTGCGAAGAATTCCAGCGGGCTCTGGAGTGTGGGGCCGTGCCCAGTCGTCTGGGACCTGCCCTGGGTGAGTGGGAGTCTGGGCTCTGATTGGCTGGTTTGCATCTGAAAGGTGAGTGTGTGCTCTGTTCTCTTCCACCCGGGGAGGGGCACTCTGCCTGGTGAATGCTGGCGTGAAAGGACCCAGGGCGCTGTGCACAATCGGGGAGCTGATTGTCTTGAGAGCAGATGTTACCCAGGCATCTTTGCTGCCTCCTTAGGCCTGTAAAGAGGAAAGTACACGATCACGTTGCAGCGCTGGTGCCCACCTTGGCTTTGCGGTGGCTCCGTGACATGCCACACGGCTCCTCCTCAAGGAAAGAGGAGCAGGTCCCGGGTGGGCCAGGGGGGCTGTCAGCAACGGACTTCAGTGATCGGCCCCTTTAGGGTTGCCTGGGCTGCAGAGAGCCCCTGGCTTAAGGCCACGCCCTGTCCTCAGTTGCCCCATTTAGGAACCCATCCAGGGCCCAGGGCGGGTATAACGGCCTGACCCCCTCAGACTGCAGGAGGCCAACTCCCAAGGCCATTGGAGCTCCAGGGCTCCCGGGGGTGGGGGCGGGGGAGGGGGTGCTGACACTGTGGCCGGGCTGCATCCCAGCTGGACTCTCCCTGTGCCCACACCTGCTTCCTTCCCCTCCGTTCCACGGGTGTCGGTTCCTCACACCACACCCCCTCTCGGCGTCTGCTTCCTGGGGAACCCCCATGACATCACCAATCCCCTGGCGTGAGAAAGACCTCGGCCCTGGGAGTGGAAAGATCCCAGTTCAGGAGTGCCTGCCCCTACTAGCTGCTCTGAGTCTCCCGTTTGTCAGGTGTTGGGGGCAGGGGAAGGGGTGGGGGGAGAGGCAGGCTGTTTTCACAGGGGAATGGGCACCAGCCTTGGACTCCACAGGTTTGAGTCCCAGCTCTGCGGCTCCCTCGCTGAAGGCCGTGAGCAGCGGCACCACCCCTCTGAGCCTCCTTTCATCCGTGAGACGAGAGCGGAAAACCTACCTCATCGGGTGCTGCGAGGATCGATGAGTGAATAAAATAATGTGTTTAAAGGGCTTAGGACAGAAGCTGAGCGCCAGGCCAACATTCCATGAGCAGTGGTTGCTATGGTTGTTATCGTTAGAAGAGTGAGACAACTGGAGTGGTTAAGTGACCTTCGGCCAAGGCAGCCCGAGTTAAAGAATGAACTTTGAACAAAGGGCGTGGACATTCTAGGAACCCGCTGAGTGGAGTCAACGTGATTATAAAGTTACTGTAAAATCGGGAGCTCAGCCTGAAGCTATATGAACGTGAGAGGCAATTTCTTTGGAAACACGGGTCCCCAAGCTGCGTGGAGGGGGTGGGGGGGACGACAGGGAGGGAGCAGGGGTCTCACCTTTATGTCCCAGGAGCCCACTGGGGACCCATCTCCTTTGCGAAAGCATGGGTACGTCATCCAGACCCTAGCCTCTCCCGCCAGCGGCTCCCAGCGTTCTGGCTTTCCACCAGCGACGTTTCCTGTAGGGTCCGCTGGGTCCAGAATCACAGGCCTGAGGAGCAACATTGAGAGAGGGACAGCTGAGGAGCTGGGCTGGGTCTCCGGAGCCTAGATGCTCCTGTGGTTGCAAAACACCTGGGGCAGGTGGGACGGGGTGGGGGTGGGGGTAGGAGGAAGGGCCCAGCAGGGCGCTGCTTCCTGGGACTCATCCTGAGTGTCCCGGAGAACAGCAGACCCAGGAAAAGGAGCCTTGCTCTTGGGCCTTACAGACCTGAGTTGGAATGCCACCGGTGCCCTTGATTCGTGGTGTGCCCGTGGGAAGGTCACGGGAGCTCTCTAAGCCTCGGTTTCCTCATCTGTGAAATGGGGCGAGCTGAACATGCCCGCCTCCAAGGATGCGAAATGCTCCGCACAGTACGTGGGACACAACCTAACGAGGGCCCATCCACATCAGTCCTCATGATAATTTGTTTTCCTGTTCGAGTGCGTGAGCCCCACAGCAGGCTTTTCACCACGGGGAACAGTGATTGGATTGCTGGGGCTGTTGCTGTCTCCGCCCACATCTCAGCTACTGCGCTCACTTCCTGTGAAGGGTCGCACAGAACCTCAGTGTCCTCATCTACTTGGTTATAGCGGTTCTCAACCTTCTGGCCCTTTAAATACAGTTCCTCGTGTTGTGACCCCCAACCATAAAATTATTTTCATTGCTACTTCATAACTGTCATGTTGCTACTGTTATGAATCATAATGTAAATATCTGATATGCAGGATGGTCTTAGGCGACCCCTGTGAAAGGATCGTTCGACCGCCAAAGGGGTCGCGACCCGCAGGTTGAGAACCGCTGGCGGGAGCACAGTGCCCGCCTCACAGGGCTGCCTGTTGTCTGATCAGATGGCAGTCAGGGGCCCGGCCCTGGGACCGGCAGCAGCAGATGACCAACAGACGTGGAGCCTCCCCTTCCTCATTTCCGAGGCACCAGAGCTGAGCCGGGGTCCATGGGTGTGGGGAGGGGCCCTGTGGGGACAGAGTACCTGGGTTTCTGGAGCTGCCTCCGCACGTATGGACCAATCTCAGGATGTGAACAGTCGTAATACTGTGTCCAGTGGATGCAAAGCTGCCGGTAGTTCATGACTAGCTCCAAGACCGTCCGAAATCCCTGCGCTGTGATGAAGTCCGTTTCCCGGCCTGCACGCTCCCAAGCGTAGACCGTCAGGAGCTCCAGGGCGTACTGAGGCGGCAGGGACTGTCCAGGCTTCTCCTTACACTGAGGGGGGGGGGGGGGAAGCCAGAAAAATGGGCTTGCCCAGCCCTGTGGCCGCCTGCTTTTGTAAATAACGTTTTCTCTTGGCGCAAAGTCACGCTCATGCGTGCACGTATCGTCTGGCTTCCACGCTCCAAAGACTGCGTTGAGTAGCCAAGACGGAGACCGTGGCCCTGACCCAGTGTCTAAAATATTTACTACCTCGTCATTTATGAAAAGAATTCGCTGGCCCTGGTTAGGGTTGGGGCTCTGGATTCTGACTGAATCCTGGCTCCAACCTCGCCTGATTCTGGGCAGACGACTCTTTTTTTCTTCTTCTTTCTTTAAAATATGTTCTTATTGGCTCTTAGGAAGAGAGGAAGGGAGGAGAGAGAGAGATAGGAACATCGATGAGAAAGAACCCACACCCAGGCATGTGCCCTGATGGCCATGGAACTGGTGACCTCCTGGTGCCAGGTCCATGCTCAACCACTGGGCCACACCGGCCAGGCTGGGCAGACCACTCGGGAAGCCTCACTTTTCTCATTTACCAAGTGAATGGTAATAATAGCATCTACCTCAAAAGGATATTGTGAGCCTGGCCGGTGTGGCTCAGTAGTTGAGTGTCGACCTATCAACCAGGAGGTCACGGTTTGATTCCTGGTCAGAGCACATGCCCAGCTTGCAGGCTTGATCCCCAGTGGGGGGGCATGCAGGAGGCAGCCGATCAATGACTCTCTCTCATCATTGATGTTTCTATCTCTCTCTCCTCTCCCTTCCTCTCTGAAATAAATAAAAGTAATAAAAAAGGATATTATGAAAATTAATTCAGAGGAAGCACTTTAAGCACTTCCTAAGTGCCTTCTAGAAGCAAACAAAATTCCCTCTGCAGGAAGATATATGATCCAAAGCCCCAAATTATCTCACAAATAATCTCAAGTACTACAAGGAGCATAGAAATAGCCAGGCACACAATGAAACGGCACCAACAGGAAAAAAAAAAAGAGATCAAATAGTAATAAATTCCTGAAGCTCTAAATATTGCAGAGTCAATTACTGGTGTGAAAAGAACTGGGAACACTCTATCCAAAGGAAGAGAAGCAGAGCATGAGCGAGGCGGGCCTAGAAGCCATGCCCCTCTTCCTCTCATCTCTCCCTCCATGTTCCCCTCCCCCTCCCCTCCCTCCTTCCCTCCCCATCCCTCCCTTCTCCTCCCCTGCCTCCCCTCCCACCCCCTCCCTTTCTGCCTCCCCTCCTGCTGCCTCTCCTGCTCCCCTCCCCTCCCTCCTCCTGGCGTCTGGACAGGACCCCACCTTTTGGTACCAGTGCTTGACCAGGCGGATGAGGCTCTTGAGCTTGGCCGGGCGCTGCTTCAGGAAGGCCCGCTGCAGCTCCGTGAAGCAGGGGGAGAACTCGCCCTCCTTCCCCAGTTTCTCGCACTCGCGGATGAGCCTGACATAGACGTCGGGGTCAGGTCTGTAGGACTCCGTCACATGACCTGTTAGGGACAAATCCATAACTTAAGATGTCAGCTCTTCCCTGAGGGTCTTTCCGTCGCCCTGGGTGACAAGCTCGCTGGAGTGGATACAGGGAAAGGGCCATTTCCAGCCCCATTCTCCCATCCGCTGCTATCGCCCAGTCCACGCCATGAAGGTGACAGGCTTCTGCAGGATCCGCTGTCCCGGCTGCTTTCTCCATCACTTCCTGCTGGTCCTCTCCTCTCCTTTCATCCTCAGCGTCCTGCATTTCCCCCACTACACTCAGGTCTCCCCTAACCTCCGGGCCTTTGCCTGTGCTGTGCCCTCTGCCTGGCATGCCCTTCCTCCCCTTCTCTCTCTCTTTTAGGACCACTGTACCCCAGCAGCCAACACAGGACATGGCAACCAGGGGACACTGCCAAACTTTTTTCATTTTGTGGCGTTTTTCTCGAGCGTCCCTTAGGCCAAAAGAAATCCCTATCAGTTCTGTGTATTAAGTAGATCCGTTCCCACAACTTAATAGTAGCAGTTTGCACGGTGTCCGACAGATGTCGCTGTGTTTCCCTCAGAAATTTAAAATCTAAACCATTCCTACACACACCCCTGTGAGCCAGTTCACTGGGGTGTCCTGGGGTGCCTGGGTGCACAGTTGGGGAACTCCCATTTGTGAACACCTACTATGTGCCAGGCCCTGTGTAAGAGCTTAATGTAGATGCTCATCTAATACTTTAAAATAAGTATGACAGTGGTTTTACAGTTTTTCTCATGTGGGGATTGAGCCTCCTCCGAGAAGGTGTACTTCCCTGCCCACCTGTCCATCACCCATAGATTCCCAGCCCTCAGCGTAAGTGTGATGAGGCTTCCTCGTGTTTTGGGTCAAGGATGAAATTAACATGCCAGATCCATGCTTCTTCATTTTTAGAGAGATAAAATACTAAGAAATGCCTTGCCCCCAAATCGTGCCAGTTTGCTGTTTAATGTCACTCCTGAGTCTGATCAGACCTTCTTCCTTCTTGCCCCGGGAGAGAACCGAAGATCTTTTCCCCGTTTTAAAGGGATGCCCTGCTTTGGGAAGACTAACTGTGAACGATTATGAACCGAGAGAGAAAGAAGCCCGGTCATAGGACAGAGGCCGACATCGCTTGTGTCAGGGGCACTCACCCAGGACATCATAGGCGGGCAGCACATCAAACTCCACCTCCGCCTGGGAAGACTGGCTCTTGAGCGTGAAGCTCAGTGCGCGGGGGTTCCAAAATTTAGGTTGGACCTCGAATTTCACGGTAAACCTTCTCTCTTGCTGACATGCTTCCAGCTGTGTTCTGATTTCCTGGATGAACTCTCCCCGGCGCTCAAACTGCTCCTGAAAACTTCTGAGGGGGCTGAGGAAGACGACGAGGTCGGCGTCAGACCGGTCTTTGAGAGCGGTGCCTTTGCCCGAGGAGCCGCCCTGGAACAGAGAGGAGGAGGAGGAGGAGAACTGGCGTTTCTTGAGAAGAGCCTCCCTACATAAAAGGACGAGCCCATCGCTAACATTCTTGGGCACCGGCCACTGTCCTGAGGGCATCGCCCGTCTTACCTCCTACGATGCTCCCAAGGACTTGGCTATTTAGGCGTTATTATTATCATTAGTTCCCATTTCACAGGTGGAAAGACAGATGCTCAGAGAGATTACCTATGGGCCCAAGCCACTGCTGACAGGTGGTGGGGACGCAGTTCAAGCCCCAGCTGCCTTGTTCTAGAAGCTGTGGTCTTCACTCCCTGGCTTTGACTGTCTTACGTCATTATATGCTGTAGCCTGGCCCATGCTGGGTGGTTTACTGAATCTGCACAGCCCGGTAACGTATTGGGACGTATGGATGAGGAAACGGAGGCACAGAGAGGCTACTGCCTTGCTCAAGGTTTTACAGCCAGCAGGGGCTACCTTCCTTTTGCAATTATTATTAAATTTATTGGGGGTGACGTGGGTTAATATAACATCACATACGTTTCAGGTGTGCAACTTTGTAATACATCTGCATACGCTATTGCAGGGGTCCTCAAACTACGGCCCGCGGGCCACATGCAAATACAAATATTGTATTTGTTCCCGTTTTGTTTTTTTACTTCAAAATAAGATATGTGCAGTGTGCATAGGAATTTGTTCATAGTTTTTTTTTAAAACTATAGTCCGGCCCTCCAACGGTCTGAGGGACAGTGAACTGGCCCCCTGTTTAAAAAGTTTGAGGACCCCTGCACTATTGTGTGCTCACCAGCCAAGACCAGTCTCCTAGTGTCACATTGTGTTTGAACCCTTTTATCCTCTTCATTCTCTCCCCCCGCCCCACACACCCCACCCCACCCGATCTCCATTCACCTAGTAACCAGCAACCTGTCAAAATTTAGACCCTGCATCAATGGTGAGTCCTCAACCTGGCCATTAATTAGCAGATTGTGGATCAGAGCTGGGCCTCCGCTTCCCTATCTCCGAAATGGACGTGGCTTAGGACGATGGTTCACGAACTTCACTGGGGCATTTGTTAAAAAATTACAGAGTCTGGCCCGGCCGGCGTGGCTCAGTGGTTGAGCATCGGCCTATGAACCAGGAGGTCCCGGTTGGATCCCCAGTCTGGGCACATGACAGGTTGTGGGCTCGATCCCGGTAGGGAGTGTGCAGGAGGCAGCCGATCAATGATTCTCTCTCATCATTGATGTTTCTCTCTCTCTCTCCCTCCCTCTCCCTTCCTCTCTGAAATCAATAAAAATATATTTATTAAATAAATTGCAGAATCTATTTTCACAAACTGTGGTTATACTTTTGGTAGGGATCAACTGGAAACCACCAGCCCCAGATCTCATTCTCTGTGGAAACTCCTGCCCGTTCAACCACCCCCTCCCCGGTCTGGCCGGTGGGCTCACCTTTACAACCTTCGACACCCGGACTCTATCTCGGAGGAAACACCTCTCCTTCAGGAAACTGCAGATGATGTCAATGGCTTGCTTGACCTGCATTCGAAAAGCAGTGTCTGGCAGGAGGTGGTGTTCGATGAACCTGTCCAGATCCTTGGCTGGGATCACTTGGAGATCCGTGGCTACGATCGCTTGGAGCGACCACATTGTGGTGCTGGGCCGCGACAGGAAGGGCCAGGGAACCTCCATCGTCTCTCTCTTCTGTCGCCCAGGTCTGAGCTGCCTGGGTTTCGTTTCCTGGGAAGGGAGGAGCTACGCCCTGGCCTCTTATCAGATGACTCACTCCTGGGATCCCAGAGGCCTCCCCCACATTCTGCAACTGACATCTGCCTCTTAACAGTTGCCTGTCTTCGGACTGTACTCTGGAAACACTGTTTTTTAACCCCCATTAGAACCTCACCCGACAGAAACCAGGATCCCAAACCAATTTCAGGATCCCAAACCAATTTCTGGTTTTCTTCTTCCTAGTTTTTGTTTTGTTTTGTTATTGTTGCTGACAGTTGTTTTATAGTCTCCTGTGATTAGTATGTGCGTATGGCCAAAGGGAAAAAGTCAGAAAACTCAGGAAGCATAAAACCCCATTCCTAACCCCAAACCTCAAAAACGACCGTTGGAACATGTTGGTGGCCGGTGCGCCGCCCGGTCAGCGCACACGCCAGGTTGCAGGTTTGATCCCCGGTCAAGGTGCATACGGGAGGCAACCGATCGCTGTTTCTCTCTCACTTCGATGTTTCTCTTTCTCTCCCTTCTGCTGTCTCTAAAATCAATAAACATAACTTTGGGGGAGGATTTAAACAAAATTCCCTCTAATCACTGATTCCATTGCATGCCACACTTTTAATTGTTGTTTCTTTATTGTCAGTCCGTGCAAACTATTTTTAAATTTCTCTTGAGGATTCTTTGACTCATGTGTTAGTGAAAAGTGTGTTAGTCTTCAAATATTTTGGAATTTCTCAGATAGCCTCCTATTATTGATAGAGTGTTTAATTCCATCGTGGTAGAGAGCATACTTTGATGAGATGCATCCTTTCGAATGTGTTAAGGTGTGTTTTCTGGGGAATGTTGCATGTGAGCTTGAGGAGAATGTGTATTCTGTTATTGTTGGATGAAGTCGTGCAAAGATGCCTGTTAGCTATCTTTCTTAATTACCCTTCTCTTCACCAGCTCCTCAGTTAACTGGCACTCCCCATTCCTGTGCACTATGTGGACTTTTGCTTAAAGCAAAATGTAACTATGAAGGGGTGGGTGTCATTCTACACAACACTCATTTTGCCCACCAGTTGGGTCGTATATATATCAAAGATTTCGTTTGCTCCCAAATGCCTTTATGGCAAAAGTACTTGTTCATGAAATGTATACTTTGGGCTAAATCTACATATAAACAGATCCAGCATGAGTTCGGAAGAGATCTGTCCTTAGGAAACCAGCGTTGTATTCTTTGGGAAAATGTAATAAAAGCATGTTTCACAAAACATTGCCTAGAATTAGGGAAGCGTGAGTCGTAAGAATTACAACTGTAAAAGGTTGAGGAAATAAGTGGAAGAATACAGAATTACGCCCTCATGCTTCTGCAAGTGTCTGTAAGTTCGTGTTCCCTTTAAAGAAACAGGAACAGGAAATTATAGATGGCGCTTTCTTGTGTGTTTCGTACAAGACAGACCGCACAGGATTCCACTCCAGGGGCCTGCCCTCAGCAAAAAGGTCTAGGTCGGGCATGGGGAACGGCCGGCCCGCGGGCCAGATAAGGCCCTGGAAATCATTCGGTCCGGCCCGGCCAAGGCATTAGGGGTGAGTTCATTAAATATTTGACCAAATATAGCAGGCTAGCTTTTAAGTTGATAATTTTGTATGGCCCTTGAATGATGTTATAAATACCCAAATGGCCCTTAGCAGAAAGAAGGTTCCCCACCCCTGGTCTAGGCCTCTCTTAAATGACTGGGACATGAAGGCCCATGTGTGGGCCCTGGCAGCCAAGTGAGAGGATTATGATACTCTGATGTCCTACCTATGGAGTTGAAGACCCACAGGGGGAAGTGACTTGCTCAAGGTCACGCAGCAGTACTGGGCCAGGGCCGAGCGAAATATCCCTTTTACATGCATGCGTGGTGATCCGTATTTCTGTGGGGCTGGGCTGTATTGTTGAACTTCATTATGCCAATGTCCCTGGCAGATCGGAGTGGAGGAGGGACCAGAATACTGACTGCTTAATCCACTTGCCTGTGGGCCCAGCTCATATGGCTTCCACCAGGAACCACGGCCCTTTGATGCCCTCCCCCTTCCCGGGCCTCACCTGTGTCAGCCCTGATGGGAGACCAGAGCTTGGCAACTTGGTCTCACCTCTTTGAAGTATTTACGATTGTCCCCATTTTCCAGGTGAGGAAACTGAGACAAAGTGGCGGCCAGGATCTGAACGCTGGACTTGAACGAGCGAAATGCTGCTGTGGTTTTTGGTCAGGAGCTTTCTACCACATCATGTTGCCTCTGTTTTGTTTCAATGGGGGCATGGGGGGGGAGATGATTAGCCGAGTCAGGTGTACCGGTATTTATGAGAACTTTTCTTGTGTGTCTTTCTCCGTTTCTTTGGGATGTCCCATGTCTAGAGAAGGAAATTAGGTTTCTTTTCAACTGCCCATGACTGAGTGGTGGCGGCTGCCTGGATTGCTGTGTTAAGAAGGATTCAGAGGCTGCCAGGAGGCTCTGTGGGAATGATGCCATATTGATTAGTGATGTCTGCCATGAGCAGAGGGAGAGAGTGGCAACAAGTGTCCCCTGCCATTCCCGGGAGGCCTGGGTGGCTGTAACTGACATCTCTCTCCACCTGGTGGCCGCTAGCTGAGTTGCAGAAAAAAACAAACAGGATGTTAGGGCAGTGGTTTGCCAAGTCACGATGGAGGTGGAAACAGATATCAACCAGGAAATATTTTAACCCACGGCAAGTGGATGAAACAGTCAGTATTCTGGTGGGCAGAGCTGGGTAGACTGAAAAAAAAAATCTCCCCAGTGAACCTGTTATGCCGACTTCTGCCCCAGCCCTGGGAACCTCCCTGTTGGGGGACAAGACAAGGAACTTGTTTCGAACTCGGCCTGGAAAAGGCCCAGCTTCTGCCGGATGGAACTGACTGTTCCTTCTGGGAGGAAACCAACACTCCTGATGCCTTTTCCCGAGCACCTTGGGGACGGGTTACAGTGGGATTGGGGATCCGGCTGGAAAGTTCGTTACCTACTCAGCTCACTTTCGGGACGTGGAGAACCTCGAGGGAGGGGCCATCGTGAAGGCTGCTTGCGGGATGGGATGGAAGGTGCTGGAATACAAAGGAGGTACTCGGTGATCTCATCGGTGTCAATCAACCTGCCAAGAGCAGCCCACAGGCCGTCCCCGATCTAGCTCCTCCCCAGACTGGTCCTCCTCTGGGCTTTGGGTTATTCACCAGTCGGGTGAGTGAGCTGACAGCTTTCACGTTATCTGAGCCCACAACCACGTGGGCCTTCCCCCCAAGGCTGGGGTGGTAGGGAGGAGCTGAGGATGCTGCCTGCCTGGTGGGTGGGCACCAGCACAGAGTCCTCTTCTAAGAGGCCGTGGGGTGAGATGAGTGGCCTTGAGCCTACCTGCCCAAGCTGACATCCACCAGGAAGCAAGCTCCAGGTAGGCAGAGACCACGCCTTCCTTGCTGGCCGCCGTGTCCCCAGTGGCTGGAACGTAGTAGGTGCTCATTAAACACTGGCTATCCAGGCAGTGGCATGTGTCCTGGCGGGGAGAAAGAACCCCGGGAACCACAAAGGAAGAGCGCAGGCCACGGTGTTCCTGGATACTCCTACTTTATTTTTGGCTACATCATCACAAAGAAAGGCGGTGGGCGGAGCTGGGGTTCTGCATGCAACGGAGGGCGGAGGGCGTGTGTGTACTCGAGGCGGGGTGGGGGGGGGCGGTTACATTTGTGGGGAGAGCGGAGAGAGCGTGCGCCTGGACTGCGGGCACTGGGAGCTCGCCACATGCTGGTTCCAGCGCCAGTACCCACGCCAGGCTTGGGCGACGCAGCCAGCATGCTTTCTCCTAAGGGCCAACCGTGGGGCCGCGGAGGGTCAGGGGGCCGACGGCAGCCAGGAAGCTGTTGGCCATTTCGGGGCGGGCGGGGAACGTGGTGTTTAGGACTGAACGTTTAGAAATCGATGGCTCTCAGTGAATTGTGCGGAGAGCTGGGGGTGGAGAGCCTGGCGGGGGAAGGTGAAAAGGCGTGTTTCCAGGAAGTGAGCGTTTGCGAGTCCATCTCAGGTCAGGGTGGGCTGCTGGACAGAGGGGCGATTCTCACAGGGGCAGGCGCCGTGGGAATGGGAAGAACCAAGGCTCTTCACAGGCAGCGCAGACTGCCCGAACCCAGCCTCGGATGCGTGATGTTTGTCCGCGCTGCCTTCTTCTCCTTTGGAAAGCAACTTTTTTAAAGAGCAAGGCTGGATGATCCCGACGGAACAAAAGCCTTTGGCACCGGCACCTGTCACACTACAGTTTCAGATCCACGATGACGGTGGTGTATTCCTCCCGCACATTGGAGGGTGCGAGGGACAGAGACAGACAGACAGACAGAGACAGACAGATTCGGGGCGATTCTGGGTGAGACACAGGCGCGAGAGTCAAAGCAGCCGAGTCAGAGTGTCAGGGACAGGGGTCGTAGGTCCACTGAACGGAGAGCAGAGGGAGGAGGAGCCCGATGCGGCTTCGGCAAGATCCCCCCCTCCCCCGGCCCAGAGCTCTGGCTTCCAGGCGCCTTCTGCGCCCGCCCCGGAGGCCAGGGGCTGGGAAAGCCCTGCTCGGGCGCCTACACAGCCTGTGGGCTGCTGCCTGCATCTGGGCAGGGCCAGCAGCCAGCCCTCCGCCCGAGGCCGCCTGGTGGTGCCCAAGGGGAAGTGGGCATCCGAGGAAGCAAGGGTCTACGTGGAAGCTCAGGTTTTGCCCGATGGCTGGTCTGGCAGGTGAGAGGAGGTGAGGGGGAGACGCTGTGTTAGGATATTTTTTGCTTTTGCTATTGAACCCCTTAGAGAGGGAGAGGGAAGAAGGGGAGAGAGACGGGGGTGGAGAGGGACAGAAAGGTGGGAGCCTGGACGCTCTATGTCTACCCCACTTCAGGGTCCCCACAGCTTTGTCCGGTGCTGACCGCTGAGGGGACACACAGACGCGATGCAGGAAACGGGGGTGTACGTGCCCGCCTGCTCAAGGCCAGGAGGGCTAAAACAGTCCGAAATGATGACAAACGCCTGTAATTACCCAAACCAGGAGGTTGTTAATGGAACAACCTCCTCGTAAGGATCTCCCATCCCTGTCCCGACTGCTCCATCCTGGAGGGACCGGAGCCGGGCTGTGCTCAGAGCCCGCCTCACAGCCTCACAGGAGCATCTGGTGTTGGGGGGGCGGGGGCAGAGGAGGTCTTTGGCGGCAATGCCCAAGGTGAGGGGGACCCCAAAAGCAGGTTCAGGGAGGGCGGCAGGGGAGGGGCAGGGGTGTACAGGAGACCAGAGTGCAGTGGGCCGCTGGAGCCGGCTGGGGGGGACCTGGGCAGGGGGCAGGGCACGGAGCCAGGGAGCTGGGCGCCATCCTAATCGCTGGGCACGTGGTTCTCGTTCTGGAGCTGGTGCCAGCGCTCGATCTTCTTGTCCTTGTTCTTCAGGCACTCGTACCAGTGTTTCAAGCGCTCTCCCTTGGCCGAGATCCCCAGCTGGCAGCCTCCTGGGTGACAGGGCGGACAGGGACAGGGGTCAGAGTGGAGGGACACAGGGGACTCGCATTCTGGACCCAAACGTCCAGTTGGGGGAAAACTGCCGCCAAGCAGCGAGCCCCTCCGGCGCCCGGGCATCCGCGCTCTGAGGGTGGAGGTTACGGTGTTGTGACTCCTGGCCTCTCTGCCCGCAGGCCAGCTGCTCACGAACCGGCCGTGGCTCCCTACTGAGGCACCGCGCTGTCTGTCTGTACAGATCGGCCACAGATCCCTACACCCACAGCAACGGACCTCCCGTTCCTTGTGGAGACTCATCATCTGTCTCCAAAGAGTTCCGTTCATCACCCCGATCCACTGCCACCATGCCTCTGCCCAAGCTGTGTCCCTGGCCTGGAGTTCCTTCCCTGCTCCACCTTTTTTTTTTTTTTTTAATGTTTTTATTGATTTTTTGTAGAGAGAGAGGAAGGGAGAGGTAGAGAGAAATAGAACATCAAGAGGAGAGAGAAACATCATGGATCGGCTGCCTCCTACACGCCCCCTACTGGGGATCGAGCCCACAACCCGAGCATGTACTCTGACTGGGAATCAAACTGGTGACCTGTTGGCTCATGGGTTGATAGTCAACCACTGAGCCACACCGGCTGGGCTCCCCATCCATCGTTAGTGACCGTCCTTCCTCATTGTTTGGAGGCCGACTGGGAAAATCAGAGCCTTCATCCTGGACTCGCACATAGATTAGGGAGACATCCTTGCACCCCATTTCCTGCAGAGCCACAGGCCCCGTGCTCTGTGATTTAACCATCCCGCCGGAGGCGATCCGTTCGGCAAAGAACCAATCATGACCCAATCTTCCCAACTTCGTGAGCTCGCTCCTCTAACAGCTTCTCAAACTGGACCCAAGGAGGGACCATGGTTTCTGACTCAGTGTTTGGATGATGTGGTGCCAAAAAAAGACAGACTCTCACCGCCTCCCCTCCCCCCACAGCCCTGGGAGGACAGAGGGCAGGTTTTCGAGGGGAGCTCGAGCACTCACCAATGTAATCGTTGGACTTGCCGATGTCATAGTCCCAGACCGAGATGTCCAGCGACTTCTTCGCCAGGTCGCTGTGTTTGATGTCATAGAAGAACTCCTGGAGGCAAGAGAGGAGGGCGGGTGTTTGAGCTAAGAGGCCAAGTCCGAGGGGTTCACAGACCAAGGGAGGCCCTGGAAGTAGGCGTTCCGGGAACAAGGGGGCCCTCCCACTCTGAGCCTCTATTCCAGGCCTGACAATCCCTTTTCTTTCTTGCTTTTTTTAAAATCCTCACCTGAGGATTCTCTTTCCATTGATTTCCAGATAGAGTGGAAGGGTGGGAGGAGGGGGGAAAGAGAGAGAGAAAGAGAGAAAAAGAGAAAGAAAGAGACATTTATGTGCCTCCCAAATGCGCCCCTACCGGGGCTGCAACCGAGGTATGAGCCTTTGACCGGGAATCGAACCCGTGACCCTTCGGTGTGCGGGCTGATGCTCCAACCACTGAGCCGAACCAGCCAGGGTCTGACAATCACTTTTCAACAAATATTTTCCATAACAAATCCCTCGAGCCCTGTAATTCTCTGGGAACTGGGAAGGCAGGTGGAGTTTGCTAGAGAGCTGGTCCTGGCCGAGTTTCCCTGAAGGCCGAGGGCCATGGGTTCAGTCCTTCCGCTCGGTAGGTTTCCCTGGCCGCCATCAGTTAGAGATTCAAGGTAGCTGAGGGGACGGAGGCTGACATAGCAACAGGTGCTTATGTTTCCAGGGTTTTAAAAAATGAACATGAATATTCATTAGAATATTATATGAAATATTCATGTATTATACTATATGACATATAATACGAATATACCATATTGTGGCTTTCTTTTCCCATTTTATAGAACACATGGCAAAAACCAATTTCCCATGCTAGCAAATATTTCTCTGCATCACCATTTTAAAAAGTATGTTTTATTGATTTTTTTTTAGTGAGAGAGGAAGGGAGAGGGAGAGGGAGAAACATAAATTGGCTGCCTCCTGCACTCCCCCTCCTGGGGATTGACAGATGACCTGTGGGCGCATGGGACGAGGCTCAACCAACTGAGCCACACCGGCCAGGGAGGCATCACCATTTCAATGGCTTCATTTAATGGCTGTGTGGCTGTACCGTCGCCTAATGCCAGATGGTCAAGCAGTTAGGTTGTTTCCAATTTTTCATGATCATTAATAGTATGATGAAGGCACCCTTGTAGCTAAACCATGCGTGCACCCATGATGACGTATCCAGATATTCCAAGAAGTGTTTTTCTGAGTTTGTAAAATTGTAAGATAGAGAACAGTGGATATATACTGCAATACCATTGGTGCCCAATAAGAATGTCAGCCACACATATATCTGCTGTATCTATACCGATGTCTACATACATATATATACATATTCATCTATCTGTCCATCAGTCTATCTATTTATCTATCTATCTAGTCTCCTGGAAATAGATAATACCGTTGCTTCAGAAGAAAAGAAGTGGGTTCTCGTAGAGGCTGGAGGAGGAGGGGGTTTTGATTGGATGCCCTCTATGACTTTTGGAATTTTCGAATGTGACTATATTCCCCATGCCCCAGATAAATGGAACTTAAATGTAAAAATCGAAGGCTTTTGCAGGGTTTTGACAAACTCCCCTTTGGAAGCGGGACGCTGGCTTCCCCGCCCAGCGTCCGCCTCTCCCCACATGTGCACCCACGCCGGGCACCGCACTTCCAACAGCTGTGTGCCCGTTTGTTATCAGAGATGGGGTCTGGTCTTGATGTGTGCTTCCTCTGTTGCTAATGAGCTGATTGGCGGTTTGGATTTCTTACTTTGTGACCTGCTCAGATTTCAGGAGAGGGGAGGGCAGGACAGCAGTAGTTGGCTCTTTGCTCACAATTCACGAATCAGAGTCAGGAAATCAGGGGGCCGTCTGAAGGAGGGACCTGGGGCAGGACGGGCTGCACTCACTGGCCAGGGGTTGCTCTGGACTCTGTTTCCCCAGAACTCTCCCCACGCATGTGCCGATGGGCATGCGTTTTTTTTTTAAAAAATGAAATGACACAAAACACACTGTGTTGTAGCTGCCCTTTCCCACTTTGCACCATTTGGTGAAAAGCAGTGTGGCTGACTGGCCCGACATCAGATCATTATATTCATCAGGTATTTCTGGACCCCCCGTGTCTGCCAGGCTTGTCAACACGTCAGTGAAAGCCAGAGGGACAGCATAAGACAGAGGGGTGCATAGACCTGGGAGCAGAGAGGAAGCCTATCTCTGGGGGATCACACACTGAGTCTTGAGGGATGACTAGGAGTTCGCCAGAGAGGAGAGGAGGGAGAGGGAAGTCTGGGAAGAGGGAACGGCAGATGCAAAAGGCTGAGGGTGCGCCAGGGACCTGCAGGAATTTAGTGTGACTTGGGGAGGGGGGTTGTGTGACGAGGCAGGGGTGGGCTGTGAGTGAAAGGGCTTGACTGTCGTGCTAAGAAGTTAGGGAGTCATTGTTGGGTTATTTACTGCCAGCAAGGGGGTGACACATTCAGATGCATGTTTTACAAAGCTCAGTGCTTATGTGGAGGTGACTCAGGAGTCTACCGCAAGGGTCCAAGCGTGCCATGCCAGGGTCGCAGGCAAGGCAGCGGCAGTGAGAACACGGAGGAAGGAGCCATTCACTGAGCATCTAAACTGCGGCTTGATGCACCGGATGGATGTGGGGAGGGAGGGAGGGGGCATCGCCAGCTGGGTGGACGGTAAAGGGCGTCACTGTTCTAACGTACCTCCCCAGATTTCAGTATTGCAGCCTGTCAGAACTGGTGAAGTTATGGGAGGTGATTTCATTCGATCTCTCTTCTAACTCAACTTCCTGCCTATGACATGCCTAATCGATAGGTTTTTGTCTCAGGCTTGATTCCTTCCAGGGACAAGAAACTCATTACCTCTCCTTGGGATAATTCAAGCTGATTTACGAGAGAAAGCACTTTCTTGATGTGCCTGAGAGCATTCTAGTAGGGAGTTCGTTCCATTCTCACACAGTTAAGATTCCACAGCATGACAAAAACTGGGGCAGCCTTACCTCATTAAATTCAGGATTCAAGGTTTTCCTCTTAATTTGAGTCTTGTGTTTGGCCTTCTTTCCCATGTCTGGTTTCAGCCAGCTGAGAGGAGACATGAGAGGCTGTTGTGAGTGAAGTCCAATGAATAAGAATAGCCCCTTGGTGACCCCAAAGGCTCCTTCTGGTGTTAGGGGAATAACTGATGAACAAACCGGAAAGCGAATCCACATTAACGATGCCCAGTGTGCATTAGAGCTACTTGATGTCAGGCGCTGACTGCACTAAGCACCTGAGGTGCACTTGCCCCTCAACAAACCCTGGACGGTAGAACTACAACCACCCATTTTACCCACAAGGAAACTGAAGGTCCAGAGAAGTTGAGACAGCTGCCTTAGGTCACACAGCAGGGTCTGAGCCCAGCTGTTGCATCTGGAGTCTGTGCTCTTAGCCAGGACTTGCTCTCAAAGGATCAAATTGAGACCCTGATGCTGTGCCTGGCATTTTACCATCGATCACCCCTAGGTTGGCCCCAACTCCCGGGGAGACGCCATGTGTGTAGACAAAAGGGAGAAGCTGCAAATCTAATTACTGTCACTCCTCTGCTCAAAACTATTTAATGGCTTCCCTTTGTCCTGGCGTAAAGTTCAAAATCTCTGATGTGGCCTTCAGAGCCTGAGAGGTTGGGTCCCTGCTCTAGCCCAGCCAAATCTCACCCATGCTCTTCGCCCCACTTCCCACTCACTCCTTCCTACCCCAGGACCTTTGCACATACTGTTTCCTCCGTTTGGAAGGCTCTTCCCTAGTGTAGACACGATGCCTGGCACACAGTAGGTGCACAATCAATAGTCTCTGGGCGAATAAATAAAATGGGCTAAAAACTCCAAAGAGTTATGACATTTGGGTTCTTATTCAAGCTCTCGCTAACTGTGCAACTTCGAACCTGAGCGTAACTTCAACGTGCCTCAGTTTCCCAGCCACTAGAAAGGGCAAACATTTCTTTCTCCCTTACCAAACTGTTTTTGGGGGTACTTTCCAAGAGGAGAAACAGATGGGGAATCGAAAGGTACCAAATGCTGGACAAAAATAAAGGGCGATTCTGACTTTTGAATCTTTATTTGATCCTCAACGGATTCACGGTCTCCTGTTTCCCTTCCCACAACAGCCGCCAGGTCAGGTGCTTCACTGGGGTCTCAGCGACCCTACCCCTTCAGGCGGGATTGGGTGGGTGGGAGAAGGGCCGGTGGGGAGAATGATTTAGGAAAACCAACTTGCACGTGGCTGGGATTTAGTGGAGAGCAGGGCAGCAGCCCATGAGTTAACTTTACCGGACCATACGAGAAAATAAAACCAAATTACTCCTGGAGATCAAATTCATTCCTGACCTGTGTGTTCTTTTGTTAACTAAATCCTCATTCGAAGGAAATCTGAAGCAAAGCCCACGCTGGCCTGGTTTTCCACCGAGGGCTTAAGGGAAGTGCTCCTCTCTGTGCTCGGAGGCAGTGGGGTCAGAAGCGCCTCCCAGGCCGGAGAGAACATTAATAAATATTCGTTGCCTTGAGTAAGAATAACGATGGTCATTGTTTAGAACCACGACAGGCCTTTATTGAGCACTTACTATACACCAGACCCCACATAAATGCACCTCGTGGTCTCCAGCTGCAGGGGCGGAACTGCCTGACAAGCGGCTGGGCGCTGATTCCCCACTCTGTTCTCACGTGGCCATGCTTCCCGTGGCTGCTCTCAGCCACACCCTGAGCCGGCAGAGACGTGAGGCAGCCGGTTTCTGAGAGATGCAGGGTTCCTTTGGAGGGCGACTTCGTGCTTCTGGATTCCTCGTCACCTGGTTGAAACTTCCTCAGACGGCCCTGCAGTCTAAGACTCTTCCTGACTCCCCACCCCCCCTCCCCCCACAGGGAGCAGACTGTACCCAGGCCTGTTGTCTCCACAGCCCTCCTCCAGCTCCCTCTCAATTTCCCTTCACACGCGTTCTCCCCAACAAGTCTCATGCACATTTCATCCTCTCTTGGCTCCTGCTTCTAGGAAAACAGGACCTAATGCACACTCTTATCCTTCCCATTTTACAGATGAGGACACTGAGGCTCAGAGATGTCAAGGCATGAGCCCGCGGTCACACAGTTAGAGACCATTGAAGACTATTGGGCCTGGGATTCCAGCTCAGGCAGTCGAGATCCAGAGCCCAGGCTCTCAACCACATCCACGCAGATACGCACTTTGCCTCCATGAGACAAGGCAGGATCCTGGTACAGTTCTGTACCAGGCACAATTCTAATTGCTTTATCATTTGGCCTTATGTTCATTCTTGGAAAGAACTGGAACTATTGTCTCCATCTTACCAATGAAGAATCTGAGGCTCAGAGAGGTTCAGTAACTTGCTTATAGTCACACAGCCAGCAGCTTCCAGAGATGGGGCGGGGGGGAGGTTGAACCCCATGTCTGATTCAAGGGCAGCTATGAGAATGTGCCTGGGGGACCTCCAACTACAAGGGGCATAACCCAACCAGGCCCCAGCTGCGGTGCTTGAAAATCCATGCCATGTTTGTGCCAAGGCCATGCCCCCAGCTGACAACCGGATGTGGTGGGGGCACTATGGCAGGCCCACTCTTAGGTGACATGGGGCCTAAGGACTCCCCGACGGCCTTGCTGAACTTGTGAGCTTCCGCTCACCCCTCCTCACTAGGGTCAGACTCGGGGCTGCCTAACAGCTCTGCATGTCCCCCAACTCTCCCTGCCTCCCCTCACACAGCATTCCCTTTCATGAAATCCTCGTCTGTGTAATCCCATGGTGGCATTTTCTCAGAGGACCCTGACTAACAGATGACAACGTCTCTCTCCCCCCCCCCCCCACGAGTGAGATCACGGGAATCACCCCAAAGTCTAAGGTCTTTTATTTGAGAGTTTCCAGACTGAATCTGGCTGGAAAAGGCCAGATTGCTTATCTGATCCTGGGGCTGGAGGTGTGTGTTGCTAGTTTTGCGGGGGG